TTTTTGGAATTTCTTATATGTCAATAAATCTTAACAGTTAAGGTTTTAAAAGTGAAGAATATATTTCTTGCACAAGCACATTTTTTATAAACAAACACGCAACATTTAATTTAAAATTTTTGTGATATATGATTTCAAACTGCCTGGAGAAAACACATTAATTATGTAATGTTACAGGTATGCATTCCCATTAAAAAAACCCAATATATGTCACATTTCTTCATGAAAAAAATCAATACAATATCGAAAAATTGCAATTTACTTCAACTATTAAAAAATATTGCCCAGTTTTAAATTATTATTATAAGGGATATTTAAAAAAAAAAACAAAAATAAAGAGAAACTAATTATAAAATTGAAAAGGTTTTATAAAAATAGAACAATAAATTCAAGGTACATTAATGTTGTTAGAAGTTCTATTTAATTTCTTATACATTAATTTCATATTTCAAATCTATTTTCATGTTTCTAATTCAGGGTTGGAATGTTTTGCTTGGTAGGAAGCACTGCCAAAATTTTATGGCACCTCACAAAAAAATTTTGTAACAAAAGTAATCTTATATTAGCACACAATTCCCCATCCTCCGTGAGCACTGCCATAAACTTTTCACCTGCTTTTATTTTTAATTTTTGTCTTACAAACCTAAACAGTCTTTAAGTAGCAGTGCAAATATTATTATATTTAACAGTTAAAAAAACATATACACAAATTCTCTGGTGACCCAAACATTTTGGTACCTTTCTTTACGCCAGTATTTAGTTACTATTAAAGTGCTTTAAATATATTTTATCAAGATAAACTCAACCAGTATCATTGTTACGAAAGGTCATATAAGGTTGAAGAACAAAGAAAAAAAATGGGTATTTCATGGATGTCTGGGAAATTTTCCCATCCTCAATTTCTTTCTTTTTATATGCAATGAACCACAATACCATCTATTGAGACAATTTACACTTATGGACTATATACACAAAAAGCTGCAGCAAAATACTTAATGGAGTGAAACTCTATGTCAGGGCATTCACCAGTCAACAGATTGGACTCTCTATGTACTATGTATAATGTGTGCATAATTTTTACAGTACCTGAAAATTATATACAAGAATTATAGGAAACTGGCCAAAATTAAACTTGTATGATACATGATATGAAGTGCATGACCTACTAAAAAGCTGCACACAGTTTTATATAAACACCAGCAAAATTTTGCCCAGGCTCAGTGTTCTTATTTTTTTGCTATTTCAGGCTCAAAAAAATTCTTATTGTTTAGTTTAAAAAAAATCATTATTATAGATATAATGTATTACTGTACCGTAGGGTATTGCAAAGACACACCGGTACAGATATAATTTGTCGGTTTATCTCATTTGACATTTTACCTCAGCCTCAATTTGTTGTTATTTTTCAATAAATTTCAGCCTACAGTAAATGTTCTTATAAAATGTTTTCTTAAAAAAAAAACACTCCAATTTTATTCACTGATACCTGTACTATAACTAACTACAGAAAATCACAACTTTCAAGAAAAAACACTTTATACGGTACAATGAAATATCTATGTAGCATAGGAAATCAAATTAAAAAATACCATGTAAAAAAATAGCAACTCTAAATGGATTTAATCTGCAGATAGATACATGCATGATATATTATTAGCAATACCCTATATACAGTATAATGCACAAGTAGAGTGAATCCGAGACAAAAATCAAGACACAATTGATGTACCATAGTAATATTATTTCGATGTGAGTTTTGCGTCAGGAAAATATCATAGGAGTGAAGTTTTGCCCTACCTGACGTTTTATCGTACCAAATACTCAGTACCATACCGTATATTCCCAAATATTTGTCAACAAAATTTGCAAGTGATTCGGGTGGGAATCACTTGCTGAGAACAGCTTAGCACTGTCGGCTAAACTGGTGGTAGCCACTGTGTGTGCGCTGAACCTTGGAGATCACTTGGTCCCTGGTTCAATTCCCATCGCTGCCTCTCCTTGTATTTCAACTGGAGGGCTGAAATGTAAATTACAATAGCACACTGTCTTTCAGATGAGACATTTTAAAGCTTTTGGTCCTGTGTGCATTATGGCCCATGTGCATATTAAACGACGTAGTCCACTTTTCGGATAGAGTATGGGATTTTCTCCCGGCGTACTGAACAATTTTTCACTACAAGGACCCCACTTCGGACTCGCACCAAAATACACTTAGTGCTGAATCCGATCTTCAACTAGCAGCGGGTAACTGCAAATGCTAAATTTGATGTGTGATTTGCATCAGGAAAATATCATAGGAATGATGTATTATAATTTGTGGAACATGTCAATTCAGTTCTTTTGACATTTTTCTCAGAACTTCACTATTTATACTTCACATGAACACAGTGCATGCACACTCACTAATATATATAAGCAGTAATAATAATATATAATATATAAATGAGGTTAGACGCGGAAGCAAAGCTGGTGCAGGCAACTTACCTTCTTCTGTCAAACCCTTGTAGCGTTTTATTTGAGCTACACGTGTTTGTCTTGTTTCTAAGCACAAAAAGTTAGCATTAGCATGATGCAAATTTGAAGGGAAGAAGAGGTTAGATAGGGATTCAGCTAGTGATCAGTGATGATGCCAGTATTTGCCTGTCTGAGGCGGAGCTAGTATCCTTAAAAGGAGATAAGTGGCAGTGGCAGATTCATTTCCGGCCACCTAGAATATCCATTAATTATAAGTTTTCTTTTGCTTCAGCCCCAACTATCATGGGGCTAGGGTGGTCTAGACCAGTAACATATACATTATTAACTTGAGCATAGAAATCTTTGAATTTAAAAAATGTGTACTGTGAATTTTATACCAGTTGAATAATGATAAAAATAATAAAAATATTTCAAGTGTTCATTTTTCACTGTAAAATAATAGGTACAGTAAATATTTTTTTAAATACTTTCTATGTTCATGTTCATTCATTCACAAAGCTACAGTAACACAAGCTTGTCTCAATAAATTTTGTACTTTGGCCTATTTTATTTGTATTACACATGTTGCTGACTAATATACAAATATGTTCAGGTTGATAATGTTTTTTTTTAATTATTATTATTATTTATTCAGGCAAAAGTTACAATATACAATACAAATCAAATGAACATGGACAATAAGAAAGAAAATATGATAACACTAGCAGCCAGGAAGATACAAAAGCAGCCGAAGCCACTGTCACCAAATAGGTGTGTACCTAACTAATGGTACCAAACATCAATATTGACAATAACAATTTTAAAACACTTAATTATAATCCTATAATTTAAATATTAAATAAATATAATTATATTAAACTAAATTAAATAAATATTTATAACCAAATTACATATTTGTGAAACTAAATTAAATACAAAAGATTAAATTGACATTAAAATTAAACTGATCCTAACAGTCCTCTTCATAATTTAGTCAACAGGTAAGTACAGTACTGTTTTCTCAGATTATTTTTAAAAGTATTCCGTTTTAATAAAATAAAATCATTTCTTAAATCTGTGGGTAAAGCATCCCAGAGTCTACAGAATCGAACAGGTAAGCAATGTAGTGCACTGTCAGTACATGCTTTAAGTCGTTTGAATGTTAATATTTCCTGATGCCGGTGATTTATACTAATCAATTCAAGTAAGTATCTATTGTTCATATTATTAAATTCATTACATACAAACAGTATGATTGTATAGTCTCTAAGTGAGTTCAAGTCCATCAATTTCAATCTTAAAAGTCTCTGTTCATATGGCTGTTCAAGTCGACACTGGTGAAGGTTATGTTACTTCAAAATGAGCAAAACTATGTTTTATATTGTTGGGGTATTTTTGATAGAAAAAAAATACATATTTAAGCTGTTGATCCAATGTTATGATCATTTTCATATTTTTTGAAATTAGTCCTACAATACAATACAAAACATACTTTTATAAGTAAATCTTTTTTGGAAAGAAGGAACGTATCGATGGTAAAACTATACATCGTAAAGATAAAATACAAATTATGAAAAATAAACGGTACTTTTATTTTAGTATCATTGAGTGACATTTGTAACATTATACTCAAAACAAGAAATGATAAAAACGTTTCCTAAGAAATTGTATATCTTACAACAATGATGAACACACGGTATTAATCAAAAACACATTTTCTCTCATTCATCTAACTGTTTTTCTTGTTTTACGGCTTGTTGTTTCTTTTCTCTGTCTTTTCCACAACTATCTGTGTTTCTCTTGACTACTATTGGACATTTGTTGATAGCGCATTAAGACCTAGTATTATGTGCTAAAAACATCCTCACATTAAAAAGCTCATAAAAATTTTATGGTGAAAAAAATAGATCGAATAAAAATTGTGTGGTACAATGGTGTTAGTTCTATAGTATAATACTGTTGGCAAAACTGTGATAAAAATTTCCCAATAGGAAAAACAACCTGTCTTTAAATTGAATGGGTAAAAACTGAAACACCATTCCAAAAAATAAAAAGATACTTGTACTCTAAACATTTTTTGCTTGCATGGGCAGTAAACACTTTGCTATCATCTCTTGTGTATGTTGTAAAGACTAGAGTAAGACCAGTTTGAGAGGAATCATGGGGGACTATTACGTCAAAGATAGAAATGAACAGTCCGGGACTCTTTCAAACGTAAGCCTACAAATATAATTGCATGCCTAGATCTGTCCTAGAAAGAACTAATATTTAATAACAATCAATTCATGTAATGTACTTGACCACATACATTTACTTTATTACATCAACCCATATTCTAATTGTAACACACTCTGCCTAAAAACAAACAAACGAATGTCACCAGGAGTTTCATCAGAAATTTAATAATAGAAGTCCAAACATAAAAAGCAAACCTCCTCTCCCTTCCTCCTCCCCCTTAAAAAACTACACCAAAAAAAACTATCCCTCCTTCCCTCCACCTCTCCCTACCCTAAAAAAAAAACTATTTAAAAAAGTAGACTACATGCTTGTCTTGTGGACAGAAGTGAGTAGCTGGTACAGGTTTACCAGGGAGCTTAGCTCAAAAACGAAGACTGCTTTTAATTGCTTTTAGTATTTATAAAGCGCTATAAATCTAACTACAGTACTGTACTATCATCATTAGACACAGGCTCCCGCAGGGAGCCTATTTTTTACTTAGTAGTTGTGGTACTGTAGATTACTAATGGAGGTGTACCACCAGGCTAGAAGTAAATGGATGTTGTTTATCAGCAAGGACAAACAGGATGACAGGTGAATCAAGTGTTTTAAACAATCAGAGGTATTACTTACACCTCTAGCGCACAGAAAAAAACCCCCAAAAAACAATGTAATTTGAAGGTCATTGAACTTAAGGTAATTTTCAGGTGACTACCACCATAGCAAGAAGGTATATTTAATACAGTACCTCCTTGCCATAAGTAATTCTTGAAATGAGAACATTATACAATGTACAATGATTTATTGTATAAATCCCTATTTTGATGTTTCTTGCCTTGTTTTATTTATATTTTACATTCCTTTTTGTAATTTTCTGTTTAATTTTGTGGAATGGATTTTCTTCTTTTCCATAGTGTATTTTACCTTTGTTAGGTATAGATTACAGTACTTTTATTTTATTAATTTGTTGACTTTGGCATACAGTACTGTTTAATAATTATATTTTGTATCTATTTTATTTAATTTCTGCATTTAACTTTTGCTTTTTATGATGTACCTTTATGTTTAAATTGCTGGTAAACGGAAGCAGTGATGTGGGTTATGGTCATTTTTCTGGTAGCCTTTAGTTTAAAAGGATAAGCTTTTTCATGGTTTTCACAAGCGCCTTGAGCACTTTAGTGGAGATGTGCGCTTAATAAATCTTATTATTATTATTATTATTATTATTATGTTTAATTTGTTAATTGTAAATAAGGTATCTCACGGCCATAATGAAAAACAGCATTGTATTTGTTGATTTGTGCTTCGTGAATAAATAAAGTTTTACTACTACTACTGTAGTTACTCTTCTCTTTTTCACATTAATTAATATTTATGGACACCATCTTCCTCCTTCCATCCTCGATAACATTGAGGGTAATCATTTAAAATGATTGCTAATCAATTACGTAATGAGTACGATATTAAGCAGTGCTTAGTCGAGAGTGATTTATTCTTTATTTGGAATCGACACTTTTACAACAGTGGCACACGTATGTAACACTATGCGTCCAAGAAAAAGAAAAAAAAAATTAATGTAATAAAAACATAGAAAATCTTAAATCTAAAACATAAACAATACAACATAAAAACCATAATTACCCCCTTCCCTTTCATGAATACAACACCGAGATTACCCCCACTCTAATTCCCATCTAACACCATACATTCTTCCCAAACGTTACTTAATAAAAACATTTCAAAATAGAAATACTTATTTTAGAGGTGCTTACTAGATGTTAAGCCTAGTGTACCTAGAAATATAACAAAATTAAAATTTTATCATTTAATAGTAAAAATCATGGAGTTATACTACATCTGTCATTATTACCATGGAGAATTACTGACATCAGATGATTTCAGCATGGAGGTGTAAGGCTACAGTATGACTCCAGGTGGTAGAACTTAGCATCACTGCTCCTGGGCCTACACAGAAGTACATGCTAACCATATGGGAGAAATATTCCTCTTTAAACTCACCAGGACACCAAAAGTTTACTACTGATCAAGAACTCTGAATAGTGAGTACCAGTAGTAGTTGGTTACTGTTTGCTAATTCATTTTGTTCCACATGTACAGGTTTAAATCCCATTGCATCTGATGATTGAAGAATCTGGCGGTCGGTCGTACCAAGGCAAAACAATGCAACTCACATTTTTGGCAATTTTGGAAAAATCATTTGGGGCATATTAAACACTCCTTAAAATTTTGGGTCTTAACAATGAGTTGTTTCTGAGATAGCACCACTTATCTTTAAGCAGACAACTTAAAATAGTGATTTTCAGTGGTAAAACATTAGGCCCAATAAAAAAAATTATTAGTTTATCACCCTCGTGCGCATGTCTTTTATGGTACTGGGAAAAAAAAAATTTGAAAAAAAATTTTTTTTTTTGAAATTTTTTTAATTTTTTTAATTTATTTTTTTAATTTATTTATTAAATAGTTAGTAGATATCGCTTGCCTTATCTAAATCATGTTTTACTTTGAATATCACTGCACCAGCAAACAACCCAAGGATGATATTTGGCTTTAGCAAAATAAAAAATTAAAAAAAAACCTCCCTCCCTCATCACTTTTCCTGCCCAGATAGGGTGATAAACTAATAATATTTTTTATAGGGCCTTATGTAACTGAAAGATTACGGGCAATAAAGTGCATCTTCGATGAACAGCCGCTGGGCTTTCACTAGGCCTAACAAAACTTTGTGCCCACACTTGACAAACCAAAATCTTGAATACTGTATCTAAAAACGGTTTTACTTCTCATTTTCTGCAGAATTTGCCAAAAAATAAATCCTTCCCATTGTTCAAATGCAAGGACAGATTTCTAGG